GGACGTGTGTTCTGTACATCGCATATAGGTGTATGTGTGTGTATATCTGTACGTGTGCGTCCTTCACCCGGGGAGAGGGGACGGGTCGAGGTGTTTGGCAAAGCCAGGCGAGCATCGTGGGGTTCACGGGTCGTGGAACGTCCCGATAGCTCCAGCGCGGGAGATGCGGCTGGAGCGCGAGCGGCCGCCGCGCGCCCGGTCCCGAGCGCGTCTCTGCACGGGGCCGACGTTCCTGCGTTCCAGCCCGCTCTGCATGGCCCGCCCGGACACTCGCTCATAGCCCATCAATGGACTTGGAGGCGAAAGATGAGGAGGAAGAGAGTCTGCAAACGGCTTTCAAAAAGCTGAGAGTGGATGCAGCAGGGTAAGCGAGCAGAACTATCGAGCAATGGGGTGTTTGTTGTTAAATAAGCGTGGCGTTTGGGGTTGTGTGTATTTTCACCAATACAGCTGGTGAAGGGTCTTGCTGTCCCAGAGAGAACAAGCAGGTGAAGTGAACTGCAGTCACTGCAGTCTAATAGGCAAAGCAATATTTTATTTACTGACTGAGGTACAATATCAACTCTGCGTGATACAGAAGTTGTTTCTCCATTTTAAACAAGTGCTGGTGCCTTCAGCTGCTCTGTAGCTCGGGAAAACCTGCTGAGACAGGGTCTGATGTGCAACACGGACCATCTGTTCCTCCACAGTGCTCTAGAGAGTCCCCTCTGGTTGGAAATGATCAAGCTAGATGTGAGCGCTGATAATATCATGGAGTAAAATGTTTGCAGAGGTTGTCGCACTAAAAAATACTCCGGAGCATGCTGGGTATACCGATAAAGCTGGGTATACCAATAATCTGTAGTATAAGCCTACTCATTTAATGTACAAGCTAATAAAATCATGCAGTCTAACAGCACTGAGATGGTTCACCTGATTGCATGTGAGGGGAAGTTTTTTTAGGAATTCCCATACACAGGGAAAACCCTTTGTATCCATGGTAACTATATTTTACCATATGAACTCATTTCTATACACATGAGTTTTGAACTCGAGCTCCTCCACTTGTTAAAATGTGATTTTTGTTGTGCTACTATTTGAGGAGGCCTCCTGACAATTAGGAAAAACAAAAAGCTGTTCTAAAGATCAGAGAACAAGAAAAACTGCTTATCAACCATACCCCTTCCCATGTATTACCAATGACAGATTCTATGGAATTAGGTTCACTCCCATGATATTTAAGTTTACAAAGATCTGTGCTTTGCAGGCACGTGTTTTGAACAACGAAACCCTCATGAGTAATCTCTTAAGGTCAACTCCGGGCAGCGTACCTGGACTCATCTGCTTGAATCTCAGTCTCGTATCTTTGATTTCTCATGCTCTAATTCACACATGTGGCCAGCATAAATACAGGTTTCTGTGCTGGTAGTTTGTTAAATATCTTGGTAATTTCTTGCACTTGTTCGCAGAGCTAGGTACAGAGCACTGTGGCGAGGCATTTATGTTTGTTGTCTGACCCTGGAAGCCCCGAAATAAAACATTTTTCATTCCTGTTCATCTCAAAAATGCAGTAAGAAATCAATAATCTTTCCTTTTCCACTGTTGTACTTCACCCACTTCTGCCCCGACTCTTCAGCCCCATGTTACGTGTTCCTGACTTTGCATTTGAAATAAAGCAGGAGTCCAGATTTTAACAATTACTGTCTGACAGGAACAATTGGAACATGAGTTTACATTCCTTTAATGCAACCTCCTGGTACAAATAGAGCATGACATCAGCTGCTGGACCGTTTGGCTTTGTTTCATGCCACCTGTCTTCAGACTCTTAGCAGAGGTCAATAAAAAGAGAGGTTAGATAAATCTCTGTAGGATCCTGTTACTAACCACGGAATGGAAATCAAGGCAGGAGACATAAATATTGTAGGTAAGCATCTAAAACTTTAAGGCTCAGTCTAGACCTTGGAAACCTCAGGCTGAAGCAGCACCATAATGTGGCATCTAAAACTTTAAGGCTCAGTCTAGACCAGCACCATAATGTGGCGTTTTCCTTTCTCCCCAGATCTGTTGCAGCTCTCTCTGTGGGTGACGGGACGATTCAGAGAACACCGATAAGAGCAGTTATGGAGGGAGCCAAACAGCAGTCTGCCTGCTCTAAAGAAGCTTGGCATGGGTAAAACACATCTAACTGCACTGTGCATGTATTCCTGTTTTGCATGAGACATTCACATTTTCTAATGAAAGTTGTTGTTAGTGAAATGACTCTATCACAAAGCTTTAGCATAACCATTTGATTCTGTGATTTTTAAAGGCTTTCAGCAAAGATTTTGACAGTATTGCCTCTTCACTTAGTGTGCCTCAAGCTTTCTTTTCTAGTGAGTGCCCCAGAGATCCTTCTCTTCAGTTTTTGTACCATTACATCTGTTTTTCTACTTCCTTTTCAATTTCTGTTTTGAAGCACCTGGATATTCCTTGCAGTTCTGCGAGCAGCTCTAACCCATATCCAGGTTCTGCACTGCAGTTCAGTCTGTGATGACAGTGGCAAAACAAGAGCACCTACAACAAAATATCATTTCCTTAATCCAAAAGACTCTGGGGGAAATAAATATCTTTAAAATAGAGGTGTTGGAACTCATCTTCCTTGTTGGGGAGCCCACATTTCTTCTGACTCCTCTGCTGTTCCTGTCAGAGATTTTAGGTGGCCCATCATCCAATTTTGTAGGCAGCAAAATCTTCTGAAACATTTTTAGCCTTATTTCAGAAGCCGTTGAGTTGTGGCTTAGATCTTTGAATTACCTCCTTGTTCACCTGCTACAACCCAACAGGTGTGTGAGAAAGCCCTCCAGAGGATCGGCAAGAACCCCACGTCGCAGGCGTTCCAAGTCGCCTGTCCTGCATCCTCCCAAGTTTACGTACTGCAGCGCGAAAGCCGACAGCCAGCTGAAACACAAAACCCAGTCAGACGCAGCGAAGGGTAACGTCACTTCGGAACACTGTACGAAGGACAGCCGTGGTTCTCCGTTAGGGGCCAGTGAGGACAGAAGAACCAGAACTGAATCTTCGGAAGCTCCCACAGCTAAAGAGCCACTCGAGAATTCAAGGGAGAATCGCGCTGCTCTCTCTCCATCCTTTGAAACCAGCCTGGATTCTAGCCAAGCTTCAGATTTCCAGTCCTTATCCATGCTTAGCAACGGCAAGCAGTGCCCTTGTACGGACAAGAAGTGCCAGTGCCAGCAGTGGCGAGCCATGGAGGTGTACTCTTTCTCTGGCTTACGGAGCGTCCTGTCGGAATGCGAGAAAGCAGTCCTAGGAATCCATCCACAGTCTCTTCCAAACAGATCCCCCTGTGGAATGGCCTCATCAAGTTCTCCTAGGTCTTGTTCTGAGCAAGCTCGAGCCTTTGTGGATGATGTGACTATTGAAGATCTTTCAGGATACATGGAATACTACTTATATATTCCCAAGAAAATGTCTCACATGGCAGAGATGATGTATACTTGACTGAAAGCAATAGAGAATCATGAATCAGAGCCTGTGATAATGGTTGGGTTAAATGCCTTGTCAGTGCCATGGCTGTTTTCACTGCTGTGTGTTTGATCAAAATGTTTCTTTGCATCATACAGCTTAGTTTTCTAATAAAATGAAAAATGGAATATAGTTTTTGAGCATAGTTCTAAAAAGAATGCACTAAAGTTTCTGAATACCTTAACAAAAGCACTGTAGATCAAATAAACTCCCTTTGTTTTTTGGTTCATGCTGTGGATACTCAAGCTGTGTACATTGTTTTCACTGTGTCTGGGAAGAGCCTTTTAAGCTTTCTTCTGAAATTTTGCAGGGTTTGGAAGATTCATTCTTGATGTATCTTATTCATCCTGCTCCAGGGAGAAAAATGGAAAAGCATTCAGTATTTTAGATAGCATGTATACCCTTTCCTTGAACCCGGTCTGGCTTTTTCTCTCTTTTTTCTTTTTTTTTTTTTCTTTCTGATTGGATCAAATTGTGAAGACTTTTCCCTCATAAAGACGATATTGGAGCATGTTTGGACCCTTCCATAGTCTTATCAACTCACTCTTGCACAGTTACATTTATCTACAGATAGCAAAGCTCATAAAAGCAAAAATATATGTTCTTATTCATGCTTTACAGATGGAGTAATTTAAGGGAGAGTGAAATGGGCTAAGAGAGTTAAGAATAAAGCTTCCTTGGGGCCACGCAGTCTCCAAAACATGAAATCCAGGTGCATTCAATACCCAGAACAGACTGGAAAGGGGATAAACAAGAAGTGTATATCATACATGCTTTGTAGCATAGGATAATAAAATTACATCTGGTTGAAAATATTCCAATAAAACACAGGGGTGCTGAGATGTGAATTTATAAATGTTTCTCTAAACCTTGCATCTTTAAAGCTTGAATAGTTTGACTTACCGATTTTACCCCCTAAGAAGCATTTTTAAATTAAAGCATGTGTTCAATATCAGCTATAAATGCACACTGAACAATTATGAGCAGAATAGTGCAATTTTTAGTTTTAACATAAGGACTCAGCAAGCCAAGAAGTCACAAACAGTTCTATAAAAATAGAGAGCAGCAGATGTCAACAGCTGACCTTGCTTTCTGCGCTAGGGAAGTTTCAGATATTCCAGATAATCCTCGTTTAATCTTTACTTATTTTCTGTAGATTTTATTCTAATAATCCCTAAAAGTTACACTACAAATACAGGAAGTATAGATTCAAAGTTTAGCGTGAGACTACTACAAAAACTGTTACTTTGCTCTTGAGTGTTACCACTGCATGCACTGAGCATGTGGTATGGCTTGTTAGCTTTGAGCACATTTAATTAATTTCTAAAATTTATCTCACCTTACACATCTTCTCCAGCTATCATCATACTATAAATGAGTGATGCTGGAGTATTTAAATCACATGTTTAGAAACGGAAGACTGTTTTATATCAACCACTATTCCTGAGCTTGAGGGTCTTTTTGGTCTTGTGATCTTTGATTTTTGGGTTATGATACCAGCTGTGCCATTATTTTACCTGTAATTTGTTTATTATATTTTTTCCTTTTACCTGTAGATTACCTTGTTCAAATACTCAGAATTGTGTAGGTGAACTTATTTTTCCCTCAGTGGTCAGTGTTTCACTGTCTCATTCCTTTCTCCTGCCTCCTCTAGTGCTGTCCTACATGCTCACAAACAGACAAGAGTTTCTCTCATTTGATTGTGCTTTCCTCACTTTGTCCCCTCTCAGTAAATCTGGTGCAATATGTACTTTGCTTTTAAACCTGAATATTTAGTACTAGTTCTCTCTGCTGCTGCTGTTTTTCAGAGAACATTTCTGCTTCAACAGAGGGTGGCTGCTTATGTTTCTGTTCATGCTTTTTTTCTGTGCCCCCTTTCGAAGTGTTTGAGGTACTGTTGCTAAATGCTGCATTTCTCCCTTTTAAACTCTTTAAAATCACCCCTGCATCTCAGTGAGTGTTGACCTAGAACGTGCGCTTTTGAAGAGGGGACGTATGTCTTTAGAGTGCACAAACGCAATTTAAACGGGCACTGGTTGCCTGCGAGGGGAACGGGACACGCTCCCCTTTGCAGCTGGAGCACCAGGAAGCGGCACAGCCAGGCTCTTCCCTGGAGGTGTGGGATGACTGATTCAAGGGTGCCTTCATGCTGTTGTTTCTGCTATGGAGTGCAGTGCTGCTTCTGTTTAATAAAGTTTAATAAAGTACCAAAAACCAGAAGTGTCTCAACCTTCAAGCTGGTGTTGCACAAAGCTAGCAGTGAACTCGGACACTGCAAGCGCACGAGAGTTCCCAGCTGTGCGGCCGCTACCGCAGCACAACACGCAGCCGGCCTGGTGTCCTTGGTGAAAACGGGGATCTGGGAAGTGATGGAAGTTAAACTAGTCCAAGATAAATCCCAGAGCTGAGAGCAACAACTTGGATTGTCACATAGCCAAGACAGGAGGAAAGAATAATGAGAAGAGGTTCCCCAGTGACATTTTCTGTATGTACAAGAGAAAGGTAGAGGGAAATGGGGGGAGAAGGAAGAGACACCAGAACTCCGTAGTTTCCTATTTCCAGTTTCTGGTGTGATTTCTCTGCAGGTCTCAAACTTAGCTTCTTTTAAAGCCTTCCCAACTTCGCTCACATCCTCAGCTCCTCTAGTAACTCAGTAGCTCCTGCTTTCTGCCCAACTGATGGCTCAAGCTCCACTAGTCCAGGGCACCTTCTCGGGGACTGTCTGCACAGCACAACCAGCCTGGGCGATCGGCACCGCCTCTCGGCACCGGAGGGCAAAGCGCGGCCCGTGTTACGGCTCCTGTGTTGGTTTGGTACCTGCGTGCGGAAGCCGAGTGTTTTTTTCCTGAGCAGAGACGCTCTGGAGTTTGCCCCGGTCAATCTGCAAAATAATTTACCTAAAAATTGAGAGGATTTTTTTCCTCTCAAATGTTCCCACATAGGCTGGGCTGGCTGAGCCCTCTCAGCCCAGGAATTTCTGGGCCAGGAGGGAGGGCTGAAGTTGACGGCTGAGTAATAACCGTGGGGAGGGAATCAAGCAGAGCTGCGCTTCCTGCTGCAGGGCACAGGAAAGGCTCTCCGGGACAATCTGAGACGTCTACCCCAAGAGCTCCCAAACCCCACTGCTAGTCACCACGACACAAGTCATAAGCCCCAGGTTCTCTCTTCTTCGTATTTTTTTCTTGCTTCAGATTTTAAATCCCTCACGACATCCCTGTTCTTTGCCATTCCACTGCACCCAGCTGAAAATAGCGGCTGCGTGGTGTAGATGCAGCCGGCAGCGACTCTCCACCGTGTCTCCCTGCTTCGCTACCAATCGCTCCAGGCTCTGCGCATCGGGAACACCTTATCCAGAGCGACCTGATGCCAGCTGAAGCACACAGGTATTTTCCTCTCACGGTACCTCTGTGCTTTCTATATCAGCAAAACCAAGGTCTTTTTTTAGTATCTGCCCTCCTCCCCGCCAATATTTTCCAAGTTACTTCATCATCTAGCTTCAGGATTAGTTCAAGGGAGACGTGATGCACAGGAGCGCCCTGGATCAAATAATTCATTTCTCTCCTTACAGAAGCTCAGCTGAGACCTCTCTAAGCCTTACACAGGCAGACACCAGCTCAGGCCACCCGGGAAAAGCAACGGAGCTGAATCCTACCACCAAAACCTCCTTGCTGCCTGCTGTGCTAAAAATGGGACACATTTCTACACCCGGAAAAAGCTGATTCCAGGACTTTGTCTTCTTTCCACACACTGCTTTAACTCACGCCAAATCTGACACAAGATACCTCAGGCAGCAAGTTGGCAGGTCGGTGTCCCCACTGCTTGCCCTAGTTCCTGCCTTCCACCGAGACTTTGGCAAACACCAGCAGCCTCGGCCCTCGCCCCGTCGCCGATGGGAAGGCCGGACATGTTCCCAAGGTCACGCAATGCCAGGGAAGAGCTAAAGGCAGCCACCCTAATCCTGCCCGCGAGCCTTCGCTCAGCTTAGTAAGCAGAAACCCAGTTGCATGCTAAATAAATCAGTGCCTCTGGAGGCGGTGATGCCTGCAGGATACAGAAACATGCAGACGCTGCCGTCTTTTTCCAACTGCGCAGCACGAATTCAGGGCAGCACTTGCCGCTAGATGGAGCGTTCTGGACAGCACTGGAGGTGACACGCTCTGTTTATCCCCAGTGGTTCCTTTCAGTGTCTAAGCGTGGAGCGCTGGCCCTGGATAACGGTGCCTTTTCCAGGGATAGAGCCGAGAAAGATGCTCCCCCAAGAGTGAGTGCTCGCCTAGGACACGTCCATGGTGGGAAAGGCTGGTGGGGCAGGAGCTGGGTCTCCAGCTGAGGACAGAGCTGCTCAGAGCCTGTGGTGGGGACGGCGATGGGGTGGCAGGTGCCCCAGAGCGGTGCCCCACTCGCCCGTGCTGCCCGGAGCCCTCAGCCCAGCTCTGGCCTGGGGAGGCTACAGGGGAAGGGCCTTTGCCTTTAGGTGGGTCTTGTCCCCACGGCCAGCACAGAGGGGGAATCCAGCAGGGAGGTGGCAGAAGCAAAGGACAACCCTGCCCAGCCTCGTGTCCCCTCCATATCCCTCCACAAACACATTTGTCACTGCAGCAAGGCAGGTGACACGATGCCTAGGGAAGAGGCTCATTCATTCCCTGCCCCTGAAAATTGCTCCTCTCACTACGTTTGCAGGGCCAGGTGGATGCCCCCCATCCCGTCCCTTGCAGGCAGGTGTCATTAGGCGAGGAGCAGTGCAGTCCCCAATGGAAAAAGCTCCTGCAAACCCTATCCCAGAGCCTTGGGCATACGAAGAGTCACCACAGATCAGGGCAGACATCCCCCAGACACCTTGACACTTCCAAAAACCAATCTCTGTTTCGACACGCAGCCGTGCCGGGCTGGCACTAGCTGCCCAGGCTCCAGCGCCCAGCCTGGGCTCCCAGGCTCAGCCCGGCCCCGAGGGCAGGATGGATCCACGCTCTCCTGCTCCCAGACAAAGACGGGGCCTCCCCCG